AAAGAGTCTAATTGAAGGAGGAAGAGAAACGGGAAGTCTGCGGTGACTGCAGGGGGGTTTTCCTCATGCTGGTGGGAGCAGCAGCCCCAGTTGGCTCTCTCTCGGAGTGGAAATAATGGATTTTAATTAGCCACTCAACCTGCAGCATACAATAGCACAATTAACCTTTCCGATCCACAGGGAAATAGGCACCGGTGCCTCCAAACATCACTTAAAGCCGACAGAGATGTGTAATTACATTAGGTTTACAATAAAGGGCACGTATATGCGCCGGTGAATGCTGGAAGGAAACTTTCTGAAGTTTACCCGAAGACAGCTATCTGGATTTGCTTTAGATGTGCGAGCAAGGAGATGCAGGTTAGCTAAATCCTGTCTTAAATAGTCACAATAATGTGTGATAATGAAATCTTGGATCTTAATCAAAGGTTTGCTCTACCTTGCTAAAAAAAAGAAGCTAAAACCAGCCTAAACTGGTTGGCCGGTCTTAGCTGGTTTAAGCTGGAAGTAGCTGGTTTTAGCTGGTCCCCCAGAAGTGGTCAAAACCCAGCCAAAACCAGTCAACCAGCTTATGTTGGTTTTAGCTGTTTTCTTTTCAGCAGGGATATCCTCAAATGCTAATAGCAAACATCAGTTAGCATAAAAATAGTGTAAAAGTTGTACAAAATACTACTCCCTTAGACCCTAAAATGTAGCTGTCTATAAAATCTGAACAAAATCCTGTCACGCTACAACATTTTGTATTTAAGCTGTTTATGTTGCATAGTGGTATGCTAAGCTACCTGGCTAGCTCGCTAGCTGCAAGCTAAAACAAAGTTTATAAATGTTTAGATTGACCATTTATAGGTTTTAGTTACATAATGTGATATGTATATGTATATATATATATATATATATATATATATATATATATATATCACTCTGATGTGGTCTCGTGTCTGTGCGTGTGTGGAAACATGATTCTTCAGTGTGGGCTGCCTCGTACAAGCTGTCACAGTTTCTGAGTATATCTGAAATCCATGCTCACAGAGAGTGTACAGTACAGTATATGCGCTGTTTTGCACCGCTGGTAAGATCAAACATCCAATACAGGTATCTTGGCCTGTCTGTAGTGACATCCCAGGATGTATATCTCTGTCTGCCTGGGCTGCCTGCACTCAAACAAAATGCTCAATGCAAGATGCTGAGAGCGTCGAGAGGAAGAGTTCATAGCAAACAGGTCATTCTCCTCACATTTCTTTCTAGCATCTCTGTTGAACCCCAGTTTCAGGGTCCTGGGCAAATCCTGTTATGCAGCACATTTCCATGCCTAAAAAATGTACACTACCGTTCAAAAGTTTGGAGTCAGTATTTTATTTATTTGTTTTTGAAAGAGACTATTAGTTTTATTCAGCAAGGATGCATTAAATTGAGGAAAAATGCCAGTAAAGACATTTATATGTGGCAAAAGATTTCAAATAAATGCTGTTTTTGGAACTTTTTATTCATCAGTTTAAACCACGGTTTCCACAAAATATTTACGAATCAATAATAACAAGTTTTAAGAATCAATAATAATAATAAAAAATTTTGAGCACCAAATCCGCATATTAGACGGATTTATAAAGGATCATGTGACACTGAAGACTGGAATAATGATGCTGAAAATTCAGCTTTCCCTTCACAGGAATAAATTACATTTTAAAATATACTGTATTTAAATAGAAAACAGTTATTTTAAATTGTAATAATTTTACCGTTTTACTCTTTGATCAAATGAATGCAGTCATAAGCGGCTTTAAAAAACAAAATCTTATTGACAACTTTTGAATGGTAGTGTATGTTTTATAACTCATTTAACAAATCAACATGTTAAACATATCAAATTACTTTTTTTAAAAGGAAACCATATTAGTTCCTTCTATAGTTTTCTTTTATCACAATATCATAACTAAGTAAACATGGGGTAGATTTGAATAATGTTATGGTTTCAATAGATTTTGTGGATGAATCCACTGTATGGATGGATTTTTTCTGTGGTATCAGTTTATTTGCCTCACAACATTATATTCTGTAAAATTAGAGCACTAAAATCATACTATCAAAATTGCATAAGATGAATAATATGACACTCTCATCTTTATTTCCTTTTTTTTTAAAATTTCTCCTCATTTTATTTCGTTTTTTAAAACTTGTACATATTTCAATGCTATCAGGCATCCTGCTAAATTTCTTGCCATTGTGCAAATAGCTTATTAATATAATTTTAAGTGCATCAACTTGCCAAGAGCACACTATATTTCTGAATGTCTGGTCTAACCACCTCCATATATTACAACACAGGCATATTCATTTTTCAAAAGTTACATAGTTCAAAAGGCACTGCATAACAGGAATGACCCTCCTAGCAGACATCAAACACTTCACACCAGCCAGAGGATCCACAAACACCTTAAAGTATTAAAGTTGAATTGTATTTTCAAGTGCTGCTGGTTTAGCCTCCACATTTCCAGGCCCGACACCAGCGCAAAAAGCCTCCTCCATGCTACAAAACATCCAACTGAAGTATTACGGCTGCACAACCTGACAACAATCATAACCGACAATTATTTCCCTTGATATTGTATCTATAATTATTAATTCCAATGAACAGAATTGACATTAAAATGCTTATTTTATGTCCTGTTTTGATGCTCCCATCTCATTATAATTAACAATGCTGTCTAGTCAGTGCTTTGTTGATAATAATGGGAGCAAAGCAGACTGAATAAAGTGAATCTGAAACAATTACAAATTATTGATGATGATTATCGCCTCATTTCTGAATGTCTAGCTCTCATTTTCAAAGCAGCAAAAACCTCGCTCATTAGGACCGACTGTCATTACTATAGATTTTTACGTTTTTCCATTGCGCACAACGTACATGTGTGTGATTAATTAATTTGTCAATTAGTTGTGCAGCCCTACCAGGAATCATACTCCGGTCCACTTCTGTCTGGTCTGGTAATTCAACGCTGGACATTTCGATTAACCTTCTCATTATGGTGACGACTGCTGGCAGACCGCAGCTCCGTTCCTTATCTTATCTTCTCCGGGACGTCATATACATCATCAGTGCAGCATTAATCAATGCTCACGTTACGCTCTGAAATGTCTTCCTCTGCTCGGATCCTCATGTTTCTGCCAAGATGACACCAATCCTCAGCAGTCACAGCACAAGCGACTGACATTAATGGAGGAAATGAGAGGAGGAGAGATAGAGGTGTAACTTTCCTCTGGTCATGGTTATGGTTTGATTACATATGGGGTGTCATTCACGTGGCAGGAGAGCGGCACGACTGATGGGGGCGGTTGATCTTCTCTCTCGTGCTCTCTTTGAGTTGTTTCACTCTCGTTCCCATTTTAAACAGCCTCCTCGCCTTTCTCCACCTCCTCCTCATTTTCTCTCAGACCTTTCTGTCTCTCGTTCACCCACTCATTCATTTTAGGGGGCCGTCGTGTCCGTCTCCCGTCCCCAGATGCAGAGGGCAGGCAGTGGGGGAGTGTGCACAATACAGAGCTCCCACAAAATAGGAGTCAGAACAGGCATGTTCCCAGTTAAATATAGCTCAACTAGAAAACTGGACAGTTAAAAGTTCACAACACTTAGAAAAAGAAAAATGTCATATCAGTGGTCTGATTCCTAGCAACTGTAAAAACTGATTTTATGAAGATGTAAATAAAACAAAGATTACTGAAGTGCTGTACATTTGAAAAGAAAATACTCGTAGTATTTAGCAAAATTTCATGTTATTTGTCAACTTCTGAAATTTACTAGCAATTTTGTAGCAATTTTACTAGCAATTTTTTGATACTTTATAATATCAAGCCTACTATTTTCCAGGGTAGGGTTGCACCAGCTATTCGTAAGTTCTTACTTAAATTAGAACGTTAAGTCCACACTAGAGGGTTAGTAACTACTAGTTAGATTGTAAACTTGTAAACTTTAGCTCGTAAACTCTCCGTAAAGTAATGCATAGTCACATAATATGACGTTTACCCTAAATCATCCAATAGAAACCTAAACGAGCAGAAACTTGTTTAAATGCAATGAATTTTAATTTATCCTTTGTTCGAAAGTTTAAATAAAAACGATACATTAATAACATTAGTCTATATGTAAGCTATTTTTATATGTAAATAACATTCAGAAACTGTAATTGAAATAAATAAGGATCAATAACTACTGAAAGAAAAAAAACATAAGAACTGACATTTATTATTTCATCTGACATGCGCAACACGGACCGAAGCGCACAGAGGCACGCTGTAGATGGGGTGTTGAAGACGCGCTAAAAAAGAAACAAAGTACGTTTATTCACATATCGTTCTCTCTCTTAATATGTACGTGAGTGTAAATGTCAGCAGCATCATATATGCCTGAAGGATTGAAGGTTGTCGAGTAAAAGAAGAGCATATTGATGCAGTTCACTCAGTCTGCTATTTTATTCCAACCGTTACTCCTGACCAGACGCCTCCGTAAATATTTAGTTTATACGTAGAGTTACACTTCAACTACGTGTAATGGTGCAATGAAAAAATATTTAGTAAAAAAATAGTTAAATAGAAAAAACAGTTCGAAATGACTATTTTAAAATCCCCTGATGTTTGTAGGTTTTCCATGACCAGGGGAAACCACAATCGCAACTGTTGTTGAATCAACAACAATTACTAACATACACTGAAAAAAAAGCCCATAGAAAATTCCTTTGTTCCACTGAAATTCAATAATCTCAAAGCCCACCACAGCAATAAGGCACATACCACAGAGGAGCTGCTCACTAACAAAACCTGTGACCCCATCTGACATATTCGCCACCGTCAGTGATATTTCTGTCGATCCTTGCCTTGTCCTAAGGGTGTGCTGAGACTCCGATTAATGTGCACCTTATGGAGGAGCATCTTCATATGATGCACAGGAGTTGATGTTTAATTTTGTGAAATGGAGAAGCGTGACTGTGCATGTAGATGGAGGACAGACTCACGCGTCCACGTCTGCCAGGAGCTCCAGCTTACCGGGGAAAATCTCAGACAGGAGCACACGTGTGAATGAACGGCCCAAAGACTCCAATCGAGACTCTAAGTGCTAAAGAAAGAGAGAGAGGGGGAAAAAAAGAGGAGTTGAATACTGAATGTTACACTTATTTACATAAAAACAACAAAATTTCATGCACAAGGCTCAAGGTCACCAAGCACAGCCCACATCAAAAAGATTCGACAGTGTAGGAGGAAAGAGAACAGAAAATCATTACAACCAAGAATTTTCCAAATTTTCTGAAGAACAAGAAAACCGCTTCCTATCGCCTAATGAGAAATCTTCACAGGACCGCTGATGCTGAACGCGTGTAAACAGCTTGTGTAAACCCTTTATTTTCTTCAAAGCTTTAGTAACCACCATCAGCTCTGTGTTTCTAACATAAATGCCCAGTTTAGCTCGATTTTTATACATTAATGACGTTGGGCTTTGTTGTTGCCTTGATTTATTAGTTTCCCCAAAGAAACAATCTACTGTGTCTGATGTGGAGGAACTTGACTGGTCTGCACAAAGACCTGAACCCCACTGAACACATTTGAGATGAATCAGGACTAGGTATGCACAATATTTATTAGTATCTTTTTAATTTATCTGTATCACATAACATTGGATTGCATATTATAGCTCATGCTCATTTCCTCTATGTATACATTTAGATTATTTTTGCCATCATTTAACGCTCACGTAAAGTTAATCTTTAGCAGATCTCAAAATGAATATCTGTTTCTCATACAGTACATTATAATGTTGTGATGAATAAATTCACATGTACCATGAATTATTTTTTTAAATGGACAATTTTAGATTTAAAATGTTTGCAATTTATTTAATCAAAACAGTACAGAATTTTATCAGCCATTAACTGGTTATCACTCATAACAAAAAATTATTGGCTTATCAGCATCGGCCAAAATTCTAATATTGATGCATCCCAAACTGAAACAGTAGCTATGTTTCCATCCACCTATTTTAATGCGCATTTTAGGATATCGCAAAAAAAAACCGCTGGATGGAAACGCCAAGATGTGCATAAATTCTAAAAATGCTCATAAAAAACGTATGCGCTCAACTGAGTAGGATAAATTTCTTATTTGGTAAAAAAACATTTGCATAAACTACAATAGAAACACTTTTACCAAATAAATTCCTTAACCCTCAATCGGTCCCTGGGGTCAATATGACCCCAATCAACTTTCACTTAGTTTAAAAAAAATGGTTCCCTTCATCTCAGTGGAATAAGATTTTGTGACTTTTCAACATTTTATATCTATATTCACATAAAAAAACTGGGCTTGATTCGGTTGGTCTGAAGGTATGTAAAAAATTTTTTTTACAAATCTGTCCCTTGGGGTCAATATGACCCCACATGGAAATGAATGGGAAATGTGAAAAACTATTTTTATTTTTTTTTCATTTGTCAAAAAAAAAATAAAAAATCTGGCATAAATCTGAAAATTTCCACGAAGAAATGAAGGCCTGGTCCTAGAGCACATATGCAATGTATAAATGACATGCTCACACTCACACACACACACACACACACACACACACACACACACACACACACACACACACACACAAACAGTTGAGGAATTTTGTGGTAAATAGGTACAAAAGTACTTAATATCTCCCAAAACACAGCATTAACATATGGATGAGAAGTAAACAAAAAAAATGATATATTATTTGTATGATTAAAAATGTATATATTTTTCACAATTACTCTTTCAATGTTTGGGGTCATATTGACCCCAAGGGACTTAAGTGTAAACAGGAAATGAGGGACATTTGAGGGTAATGCGCATTAAAAATGACGTGACTTTGCGATGGGACAGCATAAAACTGGGCCAACCAACAGACCAATCTCATTTCACAGCATCTCAAAATGCTAGTTAGTTTGCCATTCTAAAATGCTTGAGCAAAGTCTCGTCAAAGTGCTTCATTATAATTAACTCCCAGAACGGGGTTCCTAAACAGCAGGCTCCGAAAATAAGATAACATGACCGCGTTTCGTCTGTGTGCTCTGAAGCTCGTAATTTATTGTATACAAAGAATATTATATACAGTGCCTTATCCTATACTGCAACAAATTAAATTTTGCTTCATGATATTTAGCGCAAGTTAATCAGGAAGTGACGATTTTGTTCTCTTCAGCCCACTGGATGGAAACAGTGCTTTATTCGCAAATGTTTTAAGCGATATTACAAATTTAATATGTAACTTTGGATGGAAACATAGCATAGAATTTTCTGACTCTTAATGAAAAATGGCTTCCTAGTCAATACAGAATAGATGTTTTTGATATATCATGTACAACAGGACACTTTATAGTGATTTATCACTGAACATTTCCCAAAGCCCATATCATCTGATCAGGATCCAGCTCCATTTTAGCCCAAGCCAGGAAAGCACATGTCCTATTTAGAAGATCTGTCTTATCTGACAATCTACTAAAAATGATATTGAGATGATTCACTTGTCTTGCAGTTTGTCACACAAAGACATTTCTGATGTCAGTTCAATACCTACTTTGGTGTCACTATGATAATGTCACAGCTGAACTATAGAGATGAGGACAAGGTGGACCACTGGATGGAAAATGAAATTTGTAACTATGAATAAGAAATTTGTATATACAGTGGGGCAAAAAAGTATTTAGTCAGCCACCAATTGTGCAAGTTCTCCCACTTAAAAAGATGAGAGAGGCCTATCAACAGAATTAAAAAAAAACATATGTTTCAAATTTAAGGTAAAATAATCCTAAAAAGATCTGCATAAACAGAGAACGTTTTGTAAAAGTGTAAATCAAGCTGTGTGCATAAGAAAAAAAGAGGCAGTATTTTAGTGTTTAGTCATATAAGTTCTTGACACCCTTTCTTTGCAAGTTTGCAATATTTTTGGCCATATTTAAGAGAAAAAAAGTGTCAAGTGTAAGCGTGAAAAACGGAAGTCTGAGAAATAGCTATCACATAATTTTCTGGTAATAATTCACACTTTCACAGATCTCTGGTATTATTTTACCTTCATAGGAAATCTACCACTTACTGCTAAATTGTGAAAATTACTGTCAAGTACAAAGAGTGCTGTTGTTAAAACTCACCCTACAACCAGTGATGCTAGTGGTACAGAAATGACACACTTCACCATTCATTTAATAACAACAGAAGTCATAGGAGTTCCCTACTACATCATGAAACAAGTGTGAGTGTGTTTAAATAAACTCATTCTAATGCACCTTTTATTTGTTCATTAACCATCAATGCTAATTATTAATTCCCTAGTGATAGGCAGGAGGAAAGTGAATAATAACACAATTCTTGCTCACTTCAGGATAAAGTAATGCATTACCAGACTCTCACCACACACTTTGAAGTGTGAAACCCAGTGGACCACAAATATTACCAGCAAAAACCTCCAGACATCAGTGAGGAGGTGTTCAGGTGAATGGGTGGCTTCAAAGCACAACCATTTAAAAAAAAGAAAATAAATGGGGGGTGGTGGAGAAAGCAGAATCTACTCTTCTTCTCCAACCGAAGTGTATTAAATTAGCTGGCTTAGTTAACCTTGAAAAAGTTTACAATTGCTCTTCACTGTTAAGCCAGCATGTTTTGAATGACAAATACAGAACATGCAGGAATGTGTTTCATAGACCCAGAGAGATTTCTTGAATAAATGCACTTGATTTAAGACTCTATTCCACTTTTCTTCCCAGTTTAAATGTGCTTTTCTGCTTTATTTTCTAAAACAGTGGTTCTTAAATGGTTTTGCAAATGACCCAGATTTTGCATAATAAGATGAATGAACATAGTAGCTAATTACAAAAAAAAAAAAAAAAAAAAAAAAAAATTATTTTTAATATTATATAAATTATATATATATATGTATGTGTGTGTGTTTTATTATTTTATTTTTGTTTCATTTTAATTTTATATTCATAAAAATTATAAAAATACAAATAATATTTTTTAATTAATTATTATTATTACTACTACCAAGAAAAAAATAGCTTCAGGAATGGAAAAGACATTTGACAAGAACTACAGAGATCTCGCCCAGAATCACCATTCACTGTCTGTTTGTCTAGGTGCTGAATTCATCTCACTTGTCTTCTCTATGCATATCAATTAAAAAAGGATGAAACTAGAAAAGGGGAAAAATCTGTCAAAACAAAGTCCAATCCAAAAACATACAAATGAACAGATGAAAAGAGGCAGAGAACAAAGAGAGAAGGATTTGAATGAGAAGAAGTAGAAGAAGAAGGGAGTCGACCCGCCCCTCCCAAAACAATCGATTAACGCCCCTGGTGATCTCTCCGCCCGGCCAAATGCCGCAGGGTGTGTGTGTGTCTTTCAGCTCAGGTGTAAGACAGAACTAAGCAAGGAAGACAGACATCTTTCCACTAACAGAAAACATATTGTATGATAAAAGGTAGCAGACGGTCTTACCTCCAAGATTTTGGGGTTGCCCTGACGGCCAAGGGTGCCTAGGATGAGGCCCCATCTTTGGGCTGAGCGGGCGCTCTCTATGGCCTGCAGTCTGGTGGTCCGCATTGCCTCATGGTCATAATACTCTTGAGAAAACACTTTACTGTATGGGTCATACCTACAAATATGGAGGACAACATATTTACAAACAATAAGATACTAAGAAAACAGAAAGAAGAACATTCATAAACTAGATTAAAAAAAAAATGTTTTTAAGAAAATATGATAGTAGGATGTTGCCAGATATGTTGGTCCCTATTCATAGCTTGGATGCCTCTTTCCATGGGATTCATTTCCAATTTTTTGTCCACTGGGTAATTAATTATTGTTTAAAATAAAAATATGAAATGAACAAAAATGTATTAAGTTAATTGTAACTAAAGCTAAATGTAAAAAGAGGAAATTCAACTAAATGTTTCATTATCCCTCCACATTAAAAAGTACTAAATAAAATTAAGATGTAACAAAAGGATTTGATTCAACATCAGTAATGAATATAATATAATATAATATAATATTCTCTCTCAAATTAAAACAATACGTATTATTTATTTATATTACAACAGCAGCCAAAAGGATGTCTGGTCTAAAAATAAGTGTAAAACGCGTTTTAATTGTTTCATTTTTGATAACGCAATGAAACATGCAGAATTATGGGCATCTTGAACAAGCTGTCATACAAAGCTTGCACTCATTATTCCCAGCCTATAATTCAATAATTCACTGTGGCAGGCGTTATATATATTATTATATGTTATTTAATGTTTAAGTTTACAAAAAAGGGCAAAGAGAAAGGAGCTGTCCTCTGCAACCCTGGAGGATATTGCTGGATTTGTAGACCAAATATAAAATTGCTGAAGACTATGAGCCATAGCAATAAAGATGCTTGATTTAGGAAAAAAGTGTACAATTGCACATTGGTTTACCTGTAGGCTGGTATATCTGGGTTGGCAATCATGATGGATTCCAAATGAAATCTTCCGTCTCCAAGATAACTACAGACAGAAACAACTTTATCAGAGAAAAAGACTGTCTGAGTGGGCAGAAGGAATAAAACTCTGCTAACTCTGGGATTTGCATAAGAAAATATAAAGGCCAATGGGTCTCGGCTTAGAGGACTCATAAACCAGATCAGAACCGTCCTAACATTCAGCACGCAATCAGGGTGAGACCTACTCACTCCAAAGTCACGGCAATATTAGCCAGACGGAAAGCGAGTCATAGACACGGAGGCTGATGGGCTACAATCCAGCTACTCCACAAATAAACCTGCGTGATATGATTGGGTCATGACGCGGACAGCACGCAAGCAGAGCTCAACACGCTGATTATCCTCTGCCGTGCCAACAGGAGAAGACCTGCCATAGTTAATGGGAGTATAGATTAACCTGGCAAACCTGATGGATGCCCTGGGGAACGCAGCCGCAATTAGAAAGGCTAATTAAGACACGTTTATGAAACACTATGGAACATATTGTGGGTGGGATCCCCCAGGGCCCACCGGAGCAAAGGCTAAACCAGCCATCTTTCACTCTCACACACACACAGCGACAGAAAACGCTCTTTATCATTCATTCTTCTTGTCCCTCAAACATACCGGCTGCGTTAGATAAAGAAAAACGGTTTCGCTGCCTTGTACCCGCTAAGGGAAAAAAAGTAGGGATGCACAATATATTTGTACCATATCAGTTATCAGCTCATGTTAACATATTATTGGTTTAATATAATTTTTCAAGCAAATTTTCAGTTTTTACTTCTAGCTAATCTTTGCTCTCAAGTTAATCTTCAAAAACACAAAAAATTTAATGACACTGTTAAATGTAATCTTTTGCAAATCTCATAATGAAAATTCGTTTTTTATTGTTTTTATTTTAAAAATGCCTTAATTTGCCTGTAGTATTTAAAATGCTTGATAAAATTTTTGCTTTATTTTATTTTCAACAGAACAGAATTTTAATGTCTTTTATTCATCAGTGTTAAAATATAACTCAACATCGTCTTATTGACCTTTTTTTTTAACAAATAGAAATTTCTGCCCAATAAATGTTTTAGAGCTTGATATAATTGGAAAAACCATAATCCTTATATAAATTTCCATCTTTTTTTTTTAGGTCTGGAAATCACACTTTTAAAATGCCCTTATATACAGTAAAAATAAACAGGGTTCCCAAGACAAAATAACACTTGCTGAAAGAACTAACTTTTTAAAGCCATTTAAGCCATTTTTAGCCCCCCGGAAGTGTGCCGAGGCCTCCTATGGTGGGTCCTGCCCCCTGGTTAAGAAACACTGATTTAGAAAAAGGTAGAAATGGAAACATACATTAAAAAGTTCAAGAGCTCTGTCAGATACCATTTTAATGCTTTCCACCAACCATGGAAACAAAATCACAGAACTACGGGATACCTTCAAAAATAAATGCCTTATAGTGCACTACCCGCAAAGGAAGCATTTTTTTAAATTATTATTTTAGCTGTTGGACATAGTCATTCACCAAAAGATCCCCCCTTCACACAAATTTTTCATTTTCCTTTATATGTTGCCATAATAAAACACAGCAATTTTCCTGGATTACTGCGCTGTCTCTTTCAAGGGCCTCTATTACAAATATTGCATTTATAGCAAAGGCATTAAATGCTCAGAGGTTTTCCGGCTCCGCTTTTAACAGTATAACTTAAACGACCACAAATTTATGCATTTCGTGGAGATGGCACTATTGAGAATACAAGATTAGAAATGGCCCAATTTGCAGTTCTTAAAACTGCTTTTCACAGCACCGACCCATTCACCCACAGTTCAGTTCATTATGCCTTCGGCAATGAGTCGGAGCTCCCTCTTGCTTCAGAAGAAATCTCAAGTGGAAACCAGATGTCTGCATGAAGACCTGTGGCGTTCGTCAAATTTGATTAAATACAGAGCGTTTTACGGTCCTCTCAACTCAAAAGAGACTTTATGAAGGTGCCGATCGGCCATGAACCTGTGTCATTTTTCAACACAAAGCTGCAATCATCTTCTCCATGGGACTTTATTCAGATCCCCGGCAAACATATTACTTCTTATGAGAAAGTCAGGCTCTGTATAAGCTTAATTTTCTGTTAATTATATGGTGGTGATTCGGCTTTGCAATATAACATCACATTACTACACCGTAAGTGTCAGAGAAAGTTTTTCATTTGATCGCTGAGGGTGAGGGCAAAAGTAAATGATCTATGAAAAAGGCTATTTGCATAATAGCCATGTCATTTTGGGGGTCAGTGACATGACCACTTGTGTATGTCTAATGTTGACAGGCGCCCCGATGAAGAGGTGATGAGTGAAAATTAAAGTAAACACGCATCAATTCTCTTCCTCTCTCACCTAACACACACACACACACACACACACACAGACTAACATTCATCACAGACACTGCACGCTGGATTAAGAGGCAGAAAGCACAAACACACACACACCCTCTCTGTGTACAGACACACACAGACAGGAGGTTTCCCTCTATCTCACAGGAGCAGAGCTTGCTGCTCACAGCCGCTGTGTGATACAGAGAATAATAGATCACACACACATATATCTGCTGCCTAATGTCTCGTCTCTGTGTTACAACAGCACTTGACACACTTCTCATTAAAGACAGCTTGAAACTGCATTCGAAACGCATTTAACTTACGCAATGTGACATTTCAGAGAGAAACAATATTCCGCAGGTAATAATGTGAGGCGGGTCTTGGTGTTATCAGAATTTGATTGGGTTGTGAAAAGTAGCATATAATATTATTGGTTAGTATTATTTTTCCTACACATGAGGCCTTGATCACATCAGCAGAGTAGTAGTTTTAAAGAGAATGAAAATTATTTTGATGATAGTGTATGTATTTTTCTTGTTCTTTTGAATAACATGCACTATTAAATGTGTGCACAATAAAACCAGTGATACGTATTAAAGTAAACAGGGTCAATTTTGACATACTGTATATAAAAGGCCATGCTTTATTGTGAATACAGGGTGCACACAGTGTACACCTGCAATGCTTTTAGCTGTAACTATATCCACAATAAAGCATAACCTTGAGCACCTTATTAATTTCGTTAAATGGTTTAAAATGTAACATAATATTTAAATGCAATTTTTTTTATTACAACCTTAAGTATATTCATTCAATGCAATTGATCATTCATGCAATTCTTCCACAAGAAGATATAATCCCCGACACATAAAAACTAGAAAACATGCTCTCATTAGGTAAAAAAAGAAATGAAATAAAATAAAGCTGTATTGGTTAATCTGAATCCAGGGTTGAAACTATCCATTTCAAATTGATACATACATACACACTCTTAGCTGTCCATCGTGTTCGATGATGACGCTTGCTCCAGAGATGGGAGTGGGAAGGGGATGGGTTTAGCGATGTTGCCGCTGGTGCCACTTCTCGTGGGCATTGAGTCCGATCCTTGAGCCGCACACTCTTCTCACATGCCCTTGAGTGAGTACTCACACACACACACACACACACTTATTTTCATTCGAACAGTCTTACTACATGACAACACATACTCAACATGGGCGAGAACTATTTTCCTTACATGATGGCATTGACATGTTTCTCCAGACGAGGCGAGGTGCATCCGAGGATCTCCCCAGGAGAAAGCGGCCGACACTGAGGTACCAACACCTCGTAATCTGGCTTCAACTCTGCACTGGCTGCCTGAGAAGAGAAAGGAAAGGGACACTGAGACCAAGGAAGCAACTTTTTTCCTACCAAAAAGGTGTTGTGCAGAAGCCAGTGCCCAATCTGGAACCACGCCACAAGTGTTCACCTTTCTTGAAAAGGTGGTTCTGGGCTGGAAGATTTGGCTCTAGGTCAACCCCCTAAAACCTGCGGGTATTGAACCAAGAAACGGTAATGTCAGAGGTCCGAGGGCAGGGTAATGTTTGCACCGGATAAAGTTTTAATGAAAGGGCAGACTTAACTTTGGATTCTTTTGGAACAATTTTGGCTGGCAATTTTAAAATGTCCAAATTTAGTCTGAAACTCAGGAACTCAGCATTAACTTGCTTTTTTAACTGTTGTATAACAGCAATATCATAATGATGCTGAATGTACTGCATAGTACTGAATATCAGAGCTGCTGTAATTATAATACATACTACAATTCAAAATAATGGGGTTCGTGAGATTTTAAATATTTCTGAGAGAAGTCACTTATGCTCACCAAGGCTGCATTTATTTAATCAAAAGCACAGTGAAAACAGTAATATTAAGAAATATTATTACAGTTTAAAAGAACTGTGTTCTATTTGAACATTTTAAAATGTAATTTATTCCAGTGAAAACAAAGCTGATTTTTCAGCAGCCATTACTCCAGTCTTCAGGGCCACATTATCATTTGGTAACAATCCACAAATGCTGATTTGGTGCTGAAGAAACATTTCCAATGCTGAAAACAGTTTTGCTGCTTCAAACTTTTATGGAAAATGTGATGTATTTTTTCAAGATTCTTTGAACAGAAAGGTATCTACTTAAAACAGATACAAAATTTTTTTTTAACAAATTTGTCATCATTGTCACTTCTGATTAACTGAAAGTGTACTTGCTGAAAATTATAATTTCTTTCTCTTTTTAAAAAAAAAAAATTATTTGTGAACGCTATGAACTTTTAAATGCTAGCTTTCACCATGTGAACTGATTGTTATGAATTGTATTCATTATATACCCAAATGCTCCTGATGTCATAATACTGCTGAATCAAACTACTCTTGATGTTAAAATGTGTTCTTAAACTCAAGACTTGTAAACAAAGGCTATTTGTTTGTGTAGTAATATAGTCAGGTTCAGAGAGAAGCTAGCAGATCTGGCCGAGCACTGGCTCTTTTCAGTGGAAGGAAAGAGAGACAGATACAATCAGAGAAACAGTCATCCACAGCACATCTCCCAACACCTACAGGCTTTCCTTTCCAATGAAAAGGAAGCAAAGAAATGGTGCCAAATAAATTAAGGCAAGAAAGCCACAGTAATGCAACGGGGGCAGAGACATTACGGTTAAGATTTTGTTTCTGATGAGCAGAGAAAATAACAAAAACACATAAAACGTGTGCATTCACACCCCTCTGACCACCAGCACCCACCCAGAGCACGGGAATGGGCCTACGCACACACGATACACAGGCCGTGCTATTTCCAAAAATAGCATGGGTCATTTTTAGGCAGGAGGGTGAAACAGGAAAAAAAAGAAGGGAAGAAAATCTCACACTTATGTAAGGTGGAGTGCTGAGTGCAACATGACTTCTGATAATTCCTCCTCTTGTGCAGTTCAAAATAACTTTAACTGCATTTCACACCCACAAACACAAACACACACTATTATAGGAGCAAACAAACACACACACGGGCAACCTTATGTGCTGTCAGAGACCTTGAAGCAGGAAGGTAAGTGATAGATAGAGAGAAAGAGAGACAGTAAACGAATCAGAGAACATCTTCAACTGCAGGGAATAGTTATCATTGAGTAAGAAGTGGGGGGTCAAAGGTCACCTGTAAAGCAGCCACAAACTGGATGGTGCTGACGAGGGCGAGCGAGTGGCCAGGGGGAAAGTTGAACCTGAGTGTGTCCAGGAAGTGGGCAGTGTCAATCTGGATGTCCACAAACACGTACAGCATCTTGATGCCCTCAGTGGAGTCTATGGGGACTGAAGACACAAACATTAGCATATTTCACTCATCACACATCCAAATGATTATTTCATTCGTAGGTTGACTTCCTATTTTTTCTCTAACCTGAAAAATCTAAATTTGGCATTCAACATTGAGTACGTTTACATGGACAACAATAATCCGATTTGAACATGATTAAGACAATACTCTGATTAAGAATCTACCTAAAGTCATATTCGAAGTAAACAGAAATTGAATGAAGACATGTGGAGTATTCCTATTTTAGTTGCATTACTGAAGTGCAGAATAGACAAGTAAACACCTTAATCACATTATTAGCGCCGTGTTGGACTTTTCGCCACATTTTGCTACAGGATACACACACGGCAGTGCTCAACCGTTTGACGGCAAATAAAAGAGCTTCAACACCCGCCGTCGTCTGTATGCACGTACAAATAATTAACTTTCACCTGAAGTATATGTTTATACGTGAAACTCTGGAGGGGACGTCGGATGGCGTCACGTGGGGACGTAATGGCATGTGCCATTAATCTAACTATGTACTATAACATGTAAAACGGGAACATGAAAGGAATATTCTAAAAGCAACTCATGTAAACCCCATAATCATAATATTGGCTTATTTAGAATAAGGTAAATAATTAGATTACTGATGTCCATGTAAACGTACTGCAGCTCATCCAGAATGCTGCTGCCAGAATTCTGACTAGAACCAGAAAATCTGAGCATATTACACCAGTCCTCAGGTCCTTACACTGGCTTCCAGTTATATTTAGGATTGATTTTAAAGTACTTTTACTTGTTTATAAATCACTCAATGGCCTAGGACCTAAATACACTGCAGATATGCTCACTGAATATAAACCTAACAGACCACTCAGATCATTAGGATCGAGTCAGTTAGAAATACCAAGGGTTCACACAAAACAAGGGGAATGTGCTTTTAGTTATTATGCCACCCGCAGTTGGAATCAGCTTCCAGAAGAGATCAGATGTGCTAAAACATTAGTCACATTTAAATGCAGACTCAAAACTCATGTTTAGCTGTGCATTTATTGAATGAGCACTGTGCGATGTCCGAACCGATTGCACTATATTATATGTAAATCGTCTTCTTAAATTCATTTTAAACCTCTTAAATCAATTTTTTTTTTTAAATAATTTTCAAAGTTTTTAAATTCCTTGTTTTATTGTTGTGATTATTGTTTTTATTTTATTTTATGTAAAGCACTTTGAATTACCATTGTGTATGAAATGTGCTATACAAATAAACTTGCCTTGCCTTGCCTTGCTAAATCACTTTGGTCCAAGCAAGATGGCATGTATCTTTTCTAAAAAAAAATACAGCAAGTATTTTTAACTCTACTTCTACAAAATGATTAATAAAGAATGTGCATCAGGTATGTTTTTAGTTTTAGTTATTCATTCAATTTATGAAGGTATTGTAAACTGAATAATTTTGTAATTGCACAAATTTTGAACATGCAAATTTGCTAGTTTTATGTAAAATGTGAACAAAAAAATCCATTGTTGTAAACAAATTTATGGGTAATACAGATGCCACTTCACTGCATATTTTGAGTTTTTAGTTTGTGTTCAACACGTTAAATATTATCTTTCTGACATTACTTGAACGCACCAACAGAATCACCTGGCGGAAAAAATAGGCGCAACGATTTCTTTCCCCCAAAAATTGTCATCATTTAGGCCTACTCACTCTCATGTTGTTCCAAACCTGTATGGCTTTATTCTTAGAATCACAACAGAAAATATTTTGAAGAATGTTTCAACTGTCTTGTCCATATAATGAAAGTCAATGGGGTCCAAAAAAAAGAAGAAATTTTTCAAACAACTGTGCTCACAGAATAAAGAATTCAGGTTTGGAATGCCATTGAGTGAGTAAATGATCCTGGATTTTTCATTTTATTATAAACCATTCCTTTTTAGATCCATCTGAAATTGCACACTGTGAGAGTACTGCATTTCTTGAAAAATTTCTCAACCTTTGTTCTACTGTACAAGTATGTATGTATATAGTATAAGTACAACCCGCACAAACTAGCACATAATAGTTCATTGTCATAAACTGCAAACTCACAACAAAGTAAATAAATGTCTTGAAAACTCAGAAAAGTTTGTGTTAGTCAGCCTACCTCCGATCTACTGATGACAGTAACTGAAGAAAAGAGAAAATCGTACAATTGCTATTAATGCCATTCATTTCACGCCCCATTTAAAAGACAGCAGAGCTGAAAGAGGAAGGCGGGCTTCAGTCTTCTCCCATCTACATTATCATTTACTGCTGATGGTCATAATTGCTGCTCTTCTTGTAGCATTCTCTTTAAAGCCCCTGCTCTAATGGCCATTTCACTGCTATTAGGCAAATGCCACCTTTAGGGAGTGTTTTAAACACGGAGCCCATCTAACTATGTAAGAAAAGATGGCAAGACAGTAAAGCAAGTGGAAAGAGATGAAGTAAATCTACCTCTCAAAGCAGGAAGATCAACAGAGGCCTCTCAGCAAGCACACTGCTGAGACATCTATGAAAGAGTACATATTTTGGAAAGCACTGCATATTTTAAAGGGGTAATTTAACAAAAATTTACTCAATCTCTTTTAATGGCTAACCAAAACGGTTTACCATGCTTAAAAACTTTTTTTGAAAATCTCAGGAAAAGATAGACAAAGTGAGAGAAATATTGATTATAAAGTAATATTTCATTCAGTACTTAAAAGTATTGTTAAAAATAGTTCATGTGCATGTGTTCATGTTTGTGTGCTATGTGTTATTATTATGCTTTTAGAGTACTGTGCTGTTAGCTTAGTGACATGCTAACATCACAGCTTGATTGAACTGCATGTCAATCTGCTTCTTCGAGTTGTTACCTATGTAGAGTGTTCCAAATAAGTTTCCGTGGCGTTTAGGATGATCCCTAGGAAGGCAGCTGCCTTCATAGGCAATAAGCAACGAGGAAGGTTTTAGAACAGAGCTACTGAATAGATGTCAAAGACAATGTTTACAGTTAGCTACTAGAGGAATTGATATACATGACTGAGTGGAGAGAAAGAAAGACTTCTGGGAGAGAGATTTTACCGACTGTGGCAATAAAAGTTTTATTCTTGAAAGTTTTGCATTTAAGTGGGTCACTGTCAGAATCCACATACATACAGGGCTATTTTCATACAGGCATGAAACACACAAGAGGCAATAACCTCTTTCCGCAGGTGCTAGAAAACAAAAGAAAAAGACGTGGAGGGGCCGGGGGGTTGAAGTTAAGTGGAATCGATCCATTTCTCTTATCCAATTAGCACGGCAGACTGAGAGCACTTACTCACTGCAATTATAGCTGTTGTCAATAAGTCATGAATTCAGTCACGGTCTCCATCTGAAGGGTGGTTTCCCTACAGTGGTTCAGGCTGCAGGATTGCCGAATGACTAAAGAAACGTTGTCAGCACGATGGTATAAAACTGTACATTTCTAGTCTATTACTACCCACTGCCACTTATACCAACGACGGAAATAAGCGCAGTTAGAACAGCTAAATATGTGGGAGAGCGTTGCTATTAAGTGACTATACTGTATTGCAATAGGTAGCACTTCAATATTAACCTTGAATCAAGACTAGTTAGCACATCATTTACAAATGGTTTAATAACAATATTTTGGTATGCTTACACTGAATTGGTTACAAAATAGATGAAGGATGGTAAAACATAGAGTTAACTGTACCCAACATGTATGTAAAATATTACTTGAGACAGAAAGAGAGAGGGGGACATGGAGAGAGGGAGAAAAAAGAAGGAGAGAGGGCAGAGCCCCGAGAAGAGAGCGCCAGCAAAGAAATGGCACTTTTCCACTGCGTGGTATGACTCCGCATGGCTCGGCTCGGTTTGCGTTTCCCCTACAGTTTAGTAGCGCTTTAGAGTAGGCAGGATTATTCACATGTCGTTATAGTTGCGCCGCCTCTACTGCCGCGACTCCTGAAAAACATTTTCATTGCGCATCGCCCCCATCAAGCTCTCGCTGGATCCGCTCCTCTGCTATCAAGGAGAGGAACGTTTGTACTTCTTCAACAGACCACAAAACAGCCACTTTTTGGTTGTTAAAAAAGGTGCGCTTGTTCAAAACAGTTGCATTCGATCCTTCGCTGGCTGTGCTGATTTAAATTTAACGGTTCTGTTGTGTTTGTGTCGCAAGTTCAGTAACGGAGGTAGTGACGATTCTCTCCGGCCAATCAGTGATCAGCAGAGTTTACACGTCACATTTTGGTAGGTGGTACTAAAAAAGGTACTGTATCCAGCGGAAAACCCCCCAAAAGTGAACTGTACTGTGCCGTACCATGCAGTGGAAAAGCACCAAAAGAGGCAGCAAAGAGAAAGAGGCCAGAGCAACAGTTGCAATCTTCTTTTATCCCTTCCTTGACCATGTGACTAAAAACCAAATGTGAGACATTCAAACTGACCAATCAGCAGATTACAACTTCACCCACTGTGCAAAAGGTGTGACAATTAGAAGACCCCCGATGTATGCAATGTATGTTGGCCTACAGGCTTTGATCAATATCAGCACAGACTGTGCTAATTTGTTGTGAATTGGTGGGTTTTTGTTAAATGTGAGCCAAAATCATCACAATTAAAAGAACCAAAGACTTAAACTACTTCAGTCTGTGTGCACTGAATTTATTTAATACACGAGTTTCACAATTTGAGTTGAATTACTGAAATAAATGAACTTTTCCACAATATTCTAATTTATTGAGATGCACCTGTATGGACCCCCGATGTATGCAATGTATGTTGGCCTACAGGCTTTGATCAATATCAGCACTTTTATGCCTTCTGGAATGCCAAATGGCCCTTTTGTTACTCAAAATAGGGTTGAGACAGGAAAGCAAAAGTCTTTGATCATTTTTGACCCTACAAAGTCCCCCCTTGACACCGTTGGCCAAAACTAAAGAGGCAAAAGGTGACATAGTCCATGAAAACATGCTTTCTGTTGTGTGCAGATGTCAT